TTTTTGAGGGCCTTCTGCCCCCTCTGTGACTGAAATGTAATGTCTCCTCCTGTCTACCTACACAATCTGAGGCCTTTAAGCTGCATCAGTTTAAAAATGGGGAGCGCTGTTTGCTTTGCTAACCTGTTCCCATTCTATCCAGATGTAGCACCTCCGTTTGTTCTGTGCAACTTCCCATTAAAAGGATTTATTTTAAAATACACCCTTTAAAATGAATCTCCAATTGAAACCTTTACTCAACTGTCCTACTGTCCTTTTTGGTTTGGTATTAAATATTTTTTTATTTAAGTCTCTTGGATTGTTTTCCAATTTTAAATGTTGTTATAGTTTCTTCTATCTATATGAGTAATTAATCATCCAGTTAGGTTAAATCATTTTATTCATTTAATGGTATGAGTGTCGCTGGTTAGGCAGGATTTATTGATCATCCTTAATTGGCCAGCAGGCAGTTGAGAGTCAACCCTGTAGCTGAGAGTCTGGAGTCACGTGTAGGCCTGACCAGGTAAGGATGGCAGTTTCCTTCCGTAAAGGACATTAGTGAACCAGATGGATTTTTTACGACAATCGGCAATGGATTCATCGTCATCTTTTAGATTCTTTAATTCCAGATATTTTATTGAATTCAAATTCCATCTGCCTTGGTGGGATTTGAATCCGGGCTTAGAATGTCATCTGGGTCTCTGGATTAACAGCCCAGCAATAATACCACTAGGCCATTGCCTCTCAAATTTTAACGCATTACACATTTGCCAATGTAGAAGGAATTTATTCCTTTTTTCAAAACTTCAAGAAAAGCAGCAGTGTATGTTTGGGCTAAGCAGCAGACTCCTGTCCTTCCCAGCGACATGCGTTAGCCAGAACTGAGGACCACATATTACAGGATCAATGTGACACTGTTCCATATTCCCATATAGAATATTTTGTAGCCTCTAAATGAAATTTCTAATCCGTATCAAGTTTTTGGGCTTGTGACCATTAGTAATTTGATTGTGATTTTCTGACTTGTATGGAAATTTACAGTCAAATTTTGATCTCCTCTGTCTATTCCATTTTTTTCAGCCCCAGCACCAGGCTTGATTGTCTTCTATTGCCAAATCTGCCCATGTAACCCAAATGTTGGCCTTCACACTAGAAATTAGGCCAATGGAAACTTTTTTTTTCCCATACTGACAACATGCTGTTGACCAATAAGAACCATTTTTACCCACATCGGTTATCTTTTTTATGTTTGATTTTCATGGGCAAGACTTCAATGGCATAACTATTTGTTCTTTTTTTTACATTTACAGAATTGGTGTGGTTGCTGGAATGGTGGTCATGTACAGAATGTACCCTTTATACTGACCAAAGGAATTATATCAAATATGGTAAAGAGAATGCCATAGTTATTCTCAATCATAACTATGAGATTGATTTCCTTTGTGGATGGGACTTCTGTGAAAGATTTGGTGTTTTGGGGGTAAGTATTGTTCTTAATTAGTGAAATTCTTCACACACATCTGGAAGACCAATCCTTCCAAATCATTTTAATCTCCTCTTTCAGCGTTGTGCGCATGTATTTTTTTTTTTTTAAAAACTTATTACGACCGACCTAAATTTTTTTTGGGTTTTTTAATGTATTTGCTCATGGAATGTGGATGTTGCAGGACATACCAGCATTTTAATGACCATACCTGATTGCTCAGGGCAATTGAGTTAGAGTATCACTGACTTGGATGAGGAAAGTGAATGTATTATAACCAAGTTTGTAGATGACAAAAATAGGTGGGAAGGCAAGTGGTGAGGATGGCTCAAGGAGAGCGTGGCAATTGGATGCAAACATGGCTTGATGGTAGGAGACACAGGGTGGTAGTGAAAGATTATTTTTCAGACAGTGGTGTTCTATATGGATTGGTGCTGCATCCACTGTTCTTTGTTTATATAAATGATTTGGCTGAGAATTTAGGAGGCATGTTTTAGTATGTTTGTGGAACGTACACCAAAATTACTAGGATAGTCGATGACTAAGAAGGTTATCCAAGAGTACAACAGGATCTTATCAACTGGGTCTTGGGCTGTGGAGTAGCAGCTGGCGTTTTAATTTGGATAAATGTGAGATTTTGCATTTTGGTAAAACAAGGACAGGGCTTCTACAGTTATTGGTAGAGCCTTGGGTAGTGTTGTTAAACACCAAGACCTAGGGATTCAGGTACATAGTTCTTTTGAAAGTTCCATCATAGGTAAACAGGATGGTTAAGAAGGCACTTAGCATGCTTGCCTTCATTACTCAGACCATTGAGTTTAGGAATTGGGATGTCATGTTGAGGTTGTACAGGATGTTGAGGCCACTTTTGAAGTACAGTGTGCAGTTCTAGTCACCCTGCTATAGAAGGACATCATTAAATTGGAGAGTCAGAAAAGACTTACCAGGATCTTGCCAGGAATGGAGGGCTTCAGTTACAAGAGAGGCTGATGGGCTGGGACTTTTTGTTTTACTGGAGCATAGGAGTTTGAGGGGTGACCCAGGGTGAGTGAGTTCAGGGCTAGATGGCATATTTTTAAGGTGAGAGAGGAAAGATTTTAAAAGGGTCCTGAGGGGCAACTTCTCACCAGGATGGTTTGTACGTGGGATGAACTGTCAGATCAAGTGGTAGATGCAGGTGTAATTTCAACATATGAAAGACATTTGTGTAGGTACAAAGATAGGAAAGATTTAGAAGGATATGCGTCAAACACCAACAAGTGGGACTAGTTTAGTTTGGAAAACATGGATGGTGTGAACGAGTTGGACTGAAGGGTCTGTTTCTGCACTGTATGCCTCTGACGCAGAGTCTGCAGAGGGATATCGACAGGCTAAGGGAATGGGCAAAAATTTGGCAGATGGAATATACTGTGGGGAAAACCGTGAGGTTATGCACTTTGATAGGAAGAATAGAGGAGCTGAATATTGTTGCAGAAAGCTATGGAACAGAGGGATTTGGGAGTCTGTGTCCATGAATTTCTTGAAGCCAGCATCCAAGTTCAGTGGGCAGTTGGGAAGGAAATGGAATGTTGGCTTTTATTTCAGAGTTTACGAAAATGAGGAAGTTTTGATGAAACTGGACAAAGCACTAATCAGACCACTACTGGAATACTGAACAGTTTTAACATGGAGCATAGAACAGTACGGCATAGGAACAGGCCCTTTGGTCCATGATATTGTGCAGAACATGACGCCAAATTAAACTAATCCCTTCTGCCTGCCCTTGGTCCATATCCCTCCATTCCTTGCACATTCATGTGCTAATCTAAAAGCCCCTTAAATGCCCCTATTGTTTCTGCCTCACTACCACCCCTGGCAGTGCAATCTAGACTCTTCTTTTCTTTTTCGTTTTTTTTATTATTGTTTTTAAAAAAAAAAACTTTCCCCTCACATCTCCTTTGAACAGTCACCCCTCGCCTTAAATGTATGCCCCCAGTATTGGACATTTTAAACTCTATTGACAGTTACAATCTTTTTCCCAATCTATGCATCTCATAATTTTGTAGATTTCTAGCAAGTCTCCCCTCGGCCTCTGCTCCAGAGAATACAGCCCAACTTTTCTAGCCTCTTATAGCTCATACCCTCTAATTCAGGCAGCATCCTGGTAAACCTCTTCTGCACCCTCTCCAAAGACTCCACATCCTTCCTATAATATGGCAACCAAAATAAGTGTGGCCTAACCAAAGTTCTTATATAGCTGCAGTATAACATCTTGACTCTTGTACTGATCAATAAAGGCAAGCATGTCATGTGCTGCCTTTACCACCCTATGTACATATGTGGCCACTTTCAAGGAGCTACAGACTTGAACCCTGAGATCCCTTTGTACATCAACACTGTTCTCGGTCCTGCGATTTAAGTGTATACTCTTCTGTAACATTTTGATTTCCCAAAGTGCAACACCTCACACGTGCACGGATTAAACTCCATCTGGTATTTCTCCACCCATGTCTGCAACTGATCTGTATCCTGCTGTAACCTTTTGACAATCTTCTACACTGTCCACAACTCCACTGATCTTAGTGTCATCTGCAAATTTACTAATCCACCCATCCAAGTCATTCATGTATGTATCACAAACAGCAGAGGTCCCAGTATGGATCCCTGCAGAACACCACTAGTAACTGACCTCCAGCCAGGAAAACACAGTTGCACCACTACCCTCTCCCTTCTGTGGGCAAGCCAGTTCTGAAACCAAATGTCTAAATCATTCTGGGTGCCAGTCATCTTAATCTTCTGGATGAGCCTATCATAATGGACCTTGTCAAAAGCCTTACTGAAGTACATGTAGACAACATCTACTGCTATACCCTCATCAATCACCTTTGTCACCTTCTCCCCAAAATTCAATCAAGTTAGTAAAACATGATCTGCCCTGCACAAAGCCATGCTGACCGTGTCCCTAATTAGGCCATGCCTTTCCAAATGTGAGTAAATCCTTTTCCCTAAGAATTCTCTGCAGTAGCTCCCCAGCCATCAATGTAACGACTGGTATTTAGTTTCATGGATTATCCCTATTTCCCATCTTGAACAGAGAAGCAAGATTAGCTACTCACCAGTCGTTTGGGACCTCTCCAGTGGCTAGCGAGGATGCAAAGATCTTGGTCAAGGCCCCAGCAATCTCCTTTTGTCACTTTCAATACCCTGGGAACTTCTCCACCTTGATGCTCTTCAAGAGACCCAACTCCACTTTCTTGATGTCAAAATGTCCTAGCATATTAGCATGCTCCACTCTAATCTCACTAAATTCCATGTCCTTCTCTTGTGTGAATATCAATGTAAACTACTTATTTAGGATCTCGCTGTCATCCTGTACCCCCAGGCACAAGTTCACTCCTTTATCCTTGAGTGGTCCTACCCTCTCCCTAGTTATCCTGTTGTTTTCAATGTGTGTATAGAATGCCTTAGGATTCTTTTTAACGCTACTTGCCAAGGTCGTTTAATGGCCTTTACTTGCACTCCCGGCTTGAGCTCTGGGCCCCTTACTTAAGAAAATTGATACTGGCATTGGAGGCAGTCAGGAGAAAGCTCACTAAGTTGGTACCAGGCATGGAGCAGAGGGTTGTTAATGCAGTCGGCTGGATGGCTGGTTTGTAATGCAGAGTGATGCCAACAGCATGGTTTCACTTCCTGAATTGGTTGAGGTTCCATGAAGGATTCTCCTTTTCAATGTTTCCCCTTGCCTGTGGTGTGGTGACCTTCTGGTTAAACCACCACCAGTCATCTCTCTTTCCCCCTCCTCACATGCGCACACGTGATGCTTGGTGTGCTGTGTAATATTGCTGTCAAGGCATTAAGGATTTTATGAGCAAAAATGAGGGTTGATCATTTCCAATTTTTTTTTTTTTAAACCAAGAAGTTGAAAGCGTTCTGTTTACAATTTTCCCTTAAATTTCTGAAACAAAAACCATGAATGCTACCCATGAAAAATAGTAACTAGTGGAATGGGGATGTATTTATTTCATTCATAGAATGTGGATCTGTTTAGTAATGCTAGTTCTATTACCCACTCCAGTTGCTCTTGAAGTAGTGGTAAGCTGCCTTTGACCAGCTAAAGTCAATGGGTCTGTGTACCCACTGTCTTTGAATATTCCATTATTTGAACCTAATATATTTGAGTAAGGTATGGTATGTTTCTTGGAGGTGGTGTTGTTTCAGTATATCCACTTGTGTTGTTCTTTTAGGTAGTATAGGTCATAGGTTTGGAAGGTACAAGTAAAGAAGTTGCTGCATGTGTCTAGCAGATGACACGCTCTGCAGCCATTATGCAACAATAAAAGAGATTGAGAATGGCACCCATCCACGACCTTAACAATGTCCTGGATGGTGTCAAGCTTCTGGAGCGTTCTGGAAGCTTTTCACATCCAGGCAAGTGGAGAATATTCCATCACACGCTTTTGACTTGCACCTTGCTAATTGTTGAAAAGCCCTTTAGAAGTTAGGAGGTTTGTTTAGAATAATCAGTTTAAGATTCACTTCCTCCCTGTTGTACGTTTCTGCACTGCCATGATTCATTGATCTATCTAGCCAGTCGGATAACGTGCATCTAAGATGGTGACTTGAAGAGTCTGGGATGTTGGCTGAAAGGTTTGATTGTGGAAATATGACTGGCAGATGTTTGTATAGCTTGGACTAGTTCTTGCAGCTTAGTGGCCTTTTTTTTTTGGGTATCAGTTTGAGGCAAGCGCTTAGCCATTTTTCAAATGCAAGGATAGCAGATTTTGCTTTTACCCCTTTAAAAGGATTAAGGTGCTTTTGTCGTTGTCATGTTGATACTAACTAATTCGAGGTTAAATTACCTAATTGATTTTGAATTTTCCAGTTGTGATGGGATTTTAACGTGTCTCTGAATCATTTAATCCAGTAGTGTAACCATTATTCTACCATGCCCATAATGACTACCCAAAAATGAGAAATTTTCAACTAACCAGAGTTGGGAAATAGTGAACCATATCTTCCTGAAGGAAAGTATTACCCTCTGGTTGGAGACCTAGAATTGCGTAGGTCACTTTTTCTTTTACCCTCCTACATTTCTGTTTTTGTGTGATTATGGCCTGACAAATTTGACCTCCAGTTGGGTGTCTAGTTTAGTTCTGGATGAATTTATTACAAAGCATTCTCTTCCCTGTGGTATTTGGCTGCATTGGCTCTGTGGAAGTAAAGGTACAGTGTAATATAATTCCATTGTTAAGTTAGGTTTTCTGTCTGCTGTTCCACCAATAATAGTTGGAACAGTAGATCTTCTGTGGGTCAAACAAAACAAAATGCTCACTCGGCAGCGTGAAGCTTTTGTCAGAAAGAACGACAGCAAGAAATTAGAATGCTTGCTGACTAGAAAACTGTGACCACTTATTACAGAACTCATTTTTAATGAGCTAGTGTGAAGGGACAACCAACAACACCAGAATTTGTCCATTTGGCCATGATCAATTCTGGTGAAAATGTATTAAGAGGGAGTGCTGTTATATTTATGTATGACTGCTGACTGAATTACTCTACTCTAGTTCCCTTGCCTTGATTTGATTTTCAGTGAACCAATTGGCAATTCAGGTGTGTTTCAATAGTAGTTGAGAATCAAATTTGACTTTTTTCTTTTTCTGGAAACCTTTCAGAACCCCAGAGGCTGAGTACCCCTAAATTTTGAAACTTAATCTGTGTGAAAAGAATGCTTCAAGGGCAAGCAAATGCCTCTTTTTAATAATGACCAAATCACACTCTTGGGTGTGGCCTCATTAACACCCTGTACAATTTTAATAAAGCTTTCCTATGTTTCTACTCTATCCTCCTTGCAATACAAAGTAATGTTTTGTTTGCCTTCCTAATTACTTCCTGTACCTGAAACCAACTTTTCAGATTAGTGTACAAGGTCACACAGATCACTCTTTGCCATTCTGTAGCCTCTCCCTATTTAAATGATTGACTTTTCTGTTCTTCCTGCCAAAATGGAAAGCCTTCCCCATTGCTCCAACTGCCAGTCTTTCAACCACTTGAATAACCTATCTATATACGAAACCAGAAGTTGCTGGAAAAGCTCAACAGGTCTAGCAGCAACTGTGAAGAAAAAAAAATTAATGTTTCTGGTCCAGTGACCCTTCCTCGGAACCGTTCTGAGGAAAGGTCACCAGACCTGAAACTTAACTTTTTTTTTTCCTCCACAGCTGCAGCCAGACCTGATGAGCTTTTGCAGCAACTTCTGGTTTTGTTCCTGATTTATAGCATGTGCAGTTCTTTCAGGTTTTCATTAACCCATCTATATGGCTTGCTTCATATTACTTCAGATTCTTCGCATTTTCATCACAGCTTGCTTACTTGCCTATCTTTTTGAATTTTTTGACAAATTTGGCTGCCATACATTCAAAGTCATTAGTTGAGGCCCTAGCACTAATTCTTTTGTCACTCCAGTTTTCTTTTTTTTTTTTGTTTTCTTTGTTCTGTAATGGAATGTGGGCATTGGATTGTTGTCCATTCCTAATTGCCCCTGAACTGAGGTTTTCTAGGCCTTTGCAGAGTGCTGTTAAGAGTAAACCACATTGCTGTGTTTCTGGAGTCACATGTAGGCTAGTCCAGGTCAAGATGGCATATTTCCTTCTCCTAAGGGACATGTGAACCAGAAGGGTGCTTGCAACAGTTAATGGCAGTCTGAAAGCATATTTACTCTGCAGCTTTATATTCCAGGTTCATTAATTTAATTTGAATTCCACCAGCTGTAGTGGTGGGATTTGTACTTGTGACATAGGGTGTTAGTCTGCAGTGTGCACGTTTTATGGTTGCATAGCATTACCACTATGCTATCGCTGTTGCCACGACCATTACCCTTATCTTCCCTCACTTTCTTCAATTCCTCCCCCCCGCCCCAAATTTTTTTCATTCCGACTACTACCCTATCATTATCCTACTTCTGTTCCTTGTTAGGTATCCAGTCTACATACTACTATTAAATCACTTCCAGTTTAAGTACTTTTCCAGGCAGTGATGCTGGACATCTGAAAGTGTTGGTGAAACTTAGCTCTGGCAGCCTGTCTGGACTGAGCATCCAAGATGATATTGAAGTCAGTGAGACATAAATGGAAACTTTTTGCTGCTGTTACTTTACTCCATTTAAAATGTCACTCACTCGCATCTCTTCAAATCCCTTTTCTAGAGGCTGCGTGCACACTTTGGCTACTTTCCTATATTTTAGTGTTTTAAGAGATTGTAAACAGTGTAACACTGGTGTTAATATAACCATTTTAAAAATATTTTTTTCTTTTTGTAGAGTTCGAAAGTACTAGCAAAAAAGGAGCTGGCTTATGTTCCTCTGATAGGCTGGATGTGGTATTTTCTGGAGATAGTATTTTGCAAACGACAATGGACAGAAGATCGCAAAAACGTAGTCCAGAGTTTGCTTAATCTCCGGGATTATCCTGAAATCTTTTGGGTAGGTATGGTGTTTATGTTAGAAATTTCACAATTGTTTTCTGTAATAACAACAAAAATAACACCAAGTTCATATTGTCAGCTGAAGTTGTATCAGAATTCCTTTTCCTAACTTTTTTTAAATTTAATCTCCTGCACAGTTGAACTGTTCCCTATTCTAGCATACTGTACCATGACGTAAAAGCTATCAAGATACTTCCTGATTCCTACCAGGTTGTGAAAGTTATGCAAATATCATCTTCCTAACTCTCTCTAATTGCTATGTTTACTGTAAATATAATAACATTAAAACATTGAGTAAAAAATTTACTGAGTATTTGATCTTAACTTGGCATCTTGATGCATTTATGCTCGGTTCTGCTCATCTTTCACTAGATAAAGATTGATCATTTATGGACCTACATTTTGGTTTCTGGTTTGGGGAGGAAAAAAATCCAAATCTCAACATAATACCTCTTCTTGTAATTAGATGCCAGCCAACATCCATGAAGCATGTTATCTTAGTCATGTAAGGACAGATTACTGGGATTTGTGTAATTATGTTGCAGTAAGGAGTTGCCACTTTTTGGGAGAAAGTCAGAAGTCCCAACACCGGGACTCTTATGACTTTGCCCACCCCAGTCCAACACTGGCATCGCCACTTTTGGAGAGAAAAAGGATTGAAAATTGAAGCTCCAGAAGTTGGAATCTCTTTCCCCCAACAGAATGGGAAGGACCGAAAAAGGGCCTGTTAGAAATAGGCAGAAAGTTGAGTTCTAAAATACTGCACGCTGCTGTCTACTGATTCTTCTACCTGTCTTAACTTCCCTTTTGGTACACCCCTTGATTGCTACTCCTAGAAGATTAGCTGATTCTGCAGAGTTTACCAATCAAATTGGCCACTCAATACTCCAGCAGCTGGATATGTCACACATCTAAAGAATCTCTTACACCAACAATGCTATGATTCCAGGCACTAACCTCTACTTGGAGGGGTGGGTATGCTTCTCCATTTTGTCAGTACTTGCAACACTGATCTGAGGTACTCCAATAGCAAGCACTCCTGTTGCATTGGAGCTTTTTTTAAAGATTGTTAATTTTGAAGCTGATCTTTTTGATATTCTGTTGAAACTGGATCCTATCCTTGTGTGCTAACTACTTAGAATATATTTTTCCCATTTCGTGATTAAAGTATTTAAATTTATAGGACACAAGGTAGAAATTCAGTCCTGTCCATTCTCTTATGGATGCGTTGTGAATTGAGGTGTTCCCTTATTCTTGAGTAGCCCAACCTTTCAACTATACTTTCACTTTTGTGTACATTAATTAAAGTAATTACTGTTTCCCATATTTGTTCTAGGTTTTTATTTTTCTTTAACCCTTCAATTCCCCCTTACACTTCTCTCCTCTTGGCTTTTCATATTCCTTGTTTTTTCTGTTTTCGTATTAGGAGCTAATCTTTTTTTTTTAAGAGGATGCCTCATTTATTACTAAAACTAAAATTTGTATGTTTGACAATGGAACTCTCTTTACTTTTAGTTTTACCTCTCTGGTTAGAATATATCTTGTACTATTACAGCAGCTCATTTGAAGATTTCTCCATTGTTTAATCTGCTGTCAATTATTTTTTTTCTCCCTTTTTAACCCTGTCATTTTGGGCAAGATCTTTTTTATATCACGCTGAACATTTTATTTTTATTCTCTCCAACATTTGTTTTTGTCTCTGGTTCTTTTTTTGACTGCTCTTCGGTTTGGAAAAAGTAGAATTCTCTTGCTAACGATGGTTATTCATTGTCCTGTCGAAAAACACTTAGTTATGATAATTAAAATTCAGGGAAATAATTAACAACAATTGCTTGTTAAAGTGCTTTAGGTAGCAGTTGTTGATGTATTTTTTAAAATACGTTCCTTATTTTGATGATGTGCTAACATTTTATTAACCTGTATCGTGGAATAGATCACCGGATATTGTCAATATGTTCTTGCACGGCTGTTCTGAACAAGCTGGAAAACGGTTGTTTAGTTAACTAATTTCCACTGGCTAGCCTATAATATGCATTGAGAATCGGACCTGTTATCTCGTTCCATTTTCTTTCTAAAGTTGCCGTTCTGAATTCTATTTAATGTGATCTTTCATTCCAGTATTACACTAGAATTTTTTTAAGTACAAGTTCTGTTACCATGTGAAACATCTTAAATTCAAAATTGTTGTGCATTACGGATGTGTGGGGAGGGGGATAAAACCTACACCTTGCCTTAATTTAGTCACTTTTCTCTACCTCTCCGTCACAGATTTTAATTTTCATAGAATCCCTGCTGTGTGGAAGCAGGCCATTCAGCCCATCGATTCCACACTGACCTTCCAAAGAGCTTCCCACCCTGACCCACTCCCTACCCTATTCCTGCATTTCCTATACTAGACACTGGTTATGCCAAATTGCCAAATCTACTTAACCTGCACATCTTTGGATGTGGGAGGAAACCGGAGCACCCGGAGGAAACCCACACCAACACGGGGAGAACGTGCAAACTCAACACAGACAGTTGCCTAAGGCTGGAATCGAACCCAGGTCCCTAGTACTGTGAGGCAGCAGTGCTAACCACTGTGCCACCACTTGAATTACTCCAGGATTTTCACTGCCTCCAGTACTGTATCTATGTCTGCTCTACTAATTTTTTTTGAGGAACTTTCTGATAATCTGTCATACTTTTCTCGATTGCTAGCTTGAATCTGTTTACTTTACTATTTGTTCAATTTAACTTGAAGCAATATCCTGGATTTAACTTTTTTAGCTATTCCTTGCCTATCTGCTCTTAATCTGGCAAAGCATCAATTTTGTTATGCCTCAATAGGGTGCATGCTGAAAATCCATGTCCTGCCAACCCTTGAGTTGTCACAAGTTTAATTTTTGTCAAAGTATGTAAAGCCCACAATTTACATGTCTGATAGATTCGGTTTCATAGAAACCGTGGACTAGGTTTCTCTATTTGAGAACTGCTACTAATAAAAAGATTTTAACTACGTGAGCAACGAATTGCTTAAATATAACTTGTTAAAACTCTAACTGCCTTCTAAATCCCCTACACATATGCACGCAAATACGGATCGGAAAAAATTGGTGTTGTAGAAGAAGGGGCGAAAAAGTACTAGGCAAACAGTTTAATAGTCATTAGGATTTGATGGAAAAGGTTTTTTGTTTGTATCCCAAATCCTTTTAGTTCTGTAGTTTTCTACTTGGATTCTTTCATTTCTTGACAGGAGGCACAGAGTAAGTGGTTCTCAAATTATAGGTTTAAAAACAGTAGCAACAGCAACTGTTGGGAGAAAATAACTAGCTTTCTTTAGCATCGTGCCTTTGACTGGAACAAGAGAGACACCACTTCCCTTCCAAGATTCTCACTATATTGTTCACTCCCATAGCTGCTCAGCTACCCAGGAACTGATCAGTTGGAGTCGGGCTGGTGACATTTGGTTTGTGCAATTGTGACCAGTAGTGGGTCACGGTGATTTGCTGATGGCCAAATATCATTTGGCACGCATACCCAGATACTGAGCTGCTTTTAATTTATACCTGTACGCTCCCCCGCATCCCCAGCACATGCCCTAAGAAGACCTTCCACATCAAACAGAT